AGAGATTTTCAGGCTTTGTGATACACTTGAACTCTACCCACAAATAAATGAGTACCTTCTCTAGAAACGAATTGAATTGACGACATCCTGCGTGACACGGCGAGAAGAAATTCGTTTGATTGTAATGTACGGCATTGAAATGCGGAACCACATTACAATGACAATCGGAATTACACTCTGATGAATCCAAAAACTCATACCTAAAATCCTTTACTTCATAGCACACCTCAATATATCCGACAGCGACTCAATGTGCGATTTTCTAACTCAATATATTCTACCGAGCGGTTTTCGCTCAAAGAAATTCTTTGGATGAACACTAATTCACCGGTAAATCTGGTGGAATCTTCCGATTTCGTGCAAAAAGAGCGCACAAAGAGTTGATCATGCAAATGAAAGTTCTCATGTTAGATACCACGTGATTGCTTGCCCGAAGTGAATTTCAACAAAAAATCGCCCATCACTAAAAGACTGTACCAACCCTATACCTTCTAGGTTTTGTATTATGGTTCATTGCATGACTGTATCAATAATGATGCATTGCATTACGAAAGTGTACTAGTCATTGTTCTATCTTGGGCAACACATGACTAATAACGTACTTTCCAAATGCATCATCTATTGCTCACTCTCATTTCTCGCTAAACTCAGCAAATTGCAATTAACATGCGTGCAAATTTTGCAGACACTATCGTAGCAACAAAGCGAAATGTAGAAATGTTACGGAATCAATTAACTCACTGAGAATTCACTGAATGCAGAACGAGATCTTTAACTGCCGGTTCGTCACACCCCACAGTCATTCCCAAGAAATATGAAGCGAATATAACCAGCCAACTTCCAATCAGACATAAAATCGCTTTACGAGGTGACAAATTGAATTTGGTTAGAATGTAACCACCCAAAGCTGTACTCACGGCGACACTTCCAATTGATATCAGGCCTTAAGCACACACATATGAAAAATGGACATTTTCATGTTTGAAATCCAACTGACATCATGAGATTGAGAATAGCAACATGTATCCAACAAATCATTCAATTCGAGAGTTCNTCGGAAGCGCAACTATGGAATTTCAGGCGCAGAACGGGTGAAAAAAATAAGAAACTAATTCATGATGAGAAATATTAGTGAAGGAATAATTTTTGATAGAGTTTATTATCGATCTGGGGAGATGGCGATAAGATAACTTCCGTAATCAATCTTTTCGTTGTAGCAGAAAATGCTAATAACTCTCAAAAACCACTCATAGTGATATCAAATAACCACTTATAGTCATCGATTGGAACTTGATCTAGCAAAATGCTAAATGATGGCACTAGGATTAGACGATGTGCTTCGTCGTCCGGGAACCTCGAATTCTGAGGATTCAGCTAGTGAAGATGCCTACAAACCGTTCCTCCTCAGGAATTCATTAAGCGAAACCAAGAGATGCCTGGATTTTGTCGGATGAATTCTTGACTTGCTATGAGCAGAACAACAGATTTCTTCTCTTACCTGCATACATATCAGCCGTCGAGGCACTTCTACCGTACTGTGTTTCGATATATTTCGGTAAATATGTACTGTAACCACCAACCAGATACGATCCAAACATCCATCCGATCACCATTGATGTATACACTGGATTCTTCAGTAAATCCCAAGCCATATACGGTAAATCTGAAGACGAACGCTATCAAATCAACAGCGAAACTACTCGGATATTCTGCAGTTTTTATTCGTTAGTGAATTTGCGAAACCAGTAGAGCTTTAAGCGCTAAATGATTCTATGCTCCGATTAAATGTTATAGTTCTTTCGGATATCTCTTGAAAAACAATTCACTTGATCAATCGGAATTGAACTGCTTTGCTTCGATGGCTCACATTAGATTGTAAAAATGAGGAAAAATGGTACGGCAATGACCTTCAAGTGCGATTTTTAACTGCTGCAGAAATGACGGCTCCTCAAGCGCTTCCGCTCCACTTGCCTCAAGTTCATGATCGTGATGTGTATGCAGATGCAGTTGTTCATGCCTACAACACCGTGATCCTTTCATGTAGAAGGTGAAAAACACAAGGAATCGGATTTGAAATAACGTCAGTCAGCGATATGAATCACCATGAATGCGCAATGAAGACGCGCAATAATGAATACAAAACTTCAATGGAAACAAAAAAANAGTGAAACACCCCTTTCCCACTATCCACTGGGATACAGATCAAACGCAGTCTTGAGTACGGATCATTAGCTACTCTTCGAAAAGTATGTTATGGTCATTGAAGACTTTTACGGGATTGAATTGATAGTATATTATATTTGAATCTTAAACAATAATTATAGCCTGCTTGGAACTGCAACCGAATTCCGATTACATTTCGAAGTCAGCTCGAGCTCCAGTCTCGTTCGTGAAGCATTTTTGGGATTTTGTTATTTTTGTGAAAATATAAATTGGAAATTTTAAAAAATTTTGCTCAGCTTGAAGAGAAGAACACACCTGAGTTGGTGTAATTCGATGCTGTTCGGATCCTCATCCGGATGGAGTAATGATCTGGGAAAGAAGAACAGTGGAATAGAGCAGAATAAATATAGAACACCACAGATCAGATAGCCTAACCACCATGCGCCAACCCATTCCTCACTGTGGATATCCAGATTTGGAGGCGCTGTAAATTCAACACAGTAAATAAGGCAAAATCCGATTTACAACAAAAAAATGACAATGCAATGAACTCAGCCGCAAAATAATCATCAATCAGAACTAATCAGCCAATGTCAATCACAACTAACGAACTTACTCGAACTTTAGGCGAAATCAAAATGTTTCGAATGTTACAAACAGGTAAAACATTACTATTCACATGTCTCGACGTTTTTTCATAGTTTAGTGACTTAATGAAGAAATTTCCCTCTTAAAAATACTTTTGATGAATTGAACAATAATATCTTTAACAGATTTTCAAACTGTCGGTAGTGGAATGCTACGCAAAACAAATATTCAAGAAATAATGACAATGAATGAAATTGTTGACCATATCTAATGAAACCATTGAATCAATGATGAGTATATATCCTATTTATAATATTTCACCTGAACAAGTTCATGTGCTTACCGTCACCAATTGAGGAGTATACTCTCGTAAGACCAGCACTTAAAGCGAATCCGAATGCAGGACCAAACGCGTACATGCTCGATAGAAGCCCTAAAACAACGTCGAATTATTAAAAATGGAAAAACGGACAAACTTCGTGAAATTTCGGATTCATATCCCTTCGCAACTGATTCTACTGACCCGTTTCGGCTAATGCATGCTTCATTTGATGCTCAAATCACTTTGTGGAGTTGATCAGCAATTCCTCATTTTCGAGGACACTGTTGTACACCATTCTTCCAAGCAAAACTTTTTGCAGCGAAAGGGACTCGAATTGCGAATGATCAGTTACCGATCTGTCAACTCATTTATCGCATACAGCACTAACAATCCGATTGTGTTCATTGTCAGTTTTGACGATCAGTTCGGTGCATTTGATTAGGAACTGATCCGACCTATAACTGATAGGTCATGGATTCGAGTCCTGCTCAGCATGATAAGTTTTGCAAGGAACTGAATCATTTATCAATTTCATCAATGCTACCGAGTTTAAAATAGAGTGCGATTGGTCTTGTATCTGATTATCTGAGTACACTTGAGAGCTGCTAATTGTATGATCGCGTGAGGCAAACTGAAAACTATCTTCAAAGAGAATCAAACAAAAATGATACCAAGATAGAACGGTGAAAGTGCCTTGTTTTCGAGATTATCATCAATGTAGACATATGCAATGGTATTGAACGGCGCTGNGTGCCTTGTTTTCGAGATTATCATCAATGTAGACATATGCAATGGTGTTGAACGGCGCTGCAGCAATACCCGCCAGGAACTGTCCAACCGAGAGAATATAGAACGCAGCGATCTCCTCTCTACGTTCACGAGCACAATGCTCATTGTAGCCTTGCGACCGTTGTGGATCACAAACATTTTCCAGTATATAAGCATGCTTAAAATGAGCAATTTGGAATAGAACTCCGACTTTATTTGTGATGATCGAACGAATGTTCATTCGGTTAACTTACTCGATGTTGTGTCAACGAATCATGGTCATAAGAGATTGCTCCAAATATTGCAGCTGGTAGTGTGAGAAAGAACATTGACAGAGCGCTTAGAATAACGCCTGAAATTCATAATTTTCATTATACGAACCGAAAAGTCTTCTGATAATAGAACCTCAAAGAGGAACATACAGAAAACAAATTGTTCCAAATCATCATGGATAACAGAATTGTCAATCGTCTACGATTTTCGCTGGATAAATTGCTGGATCACATTTTCACCTGATCGGTGATCGAATCAATTGGGGAACCGGGTGATCAGAACAACGGTTTCATAGTGTTTGGCTGGAGGGCTTAGTATGGTCTAAGTCGGCTAACTAAATGATCCAGTTTCTTCAACAGTAGCTCCGTTATGATCAAGCTGTTGAAGGGATATTTATTGGACGAATTTTAGAACTACTGGTTTCAAGATATCACCGACGAATTATTAGGAAGGACGTCAGATGGCGATAGGAGAGCCCCTATCGAATTGACCGAATGCAGTTGAGACATTTGAAGATGAAAATGGATGAAGTTTTTCACTAGCTACTTACCGATAGCTGTAATTCTGGGTAAGTGACGTCCATTAGCCATGAAACCAACTAAGACGACANTAGCTACTTACCGATAGCTGTAATTCTGGGTAAGTGACGTCCATTAGCCATGAAACCAACTAAGACGACAGCAACTGTATGGCCGATGTCGTAGACAGATAGGAGTGTTCCCGACTTCCGACTCGAAATACCGAAACGACGTTCTAAATTCGTGAGAATGCCGACCGTATATCCAAGATAAGTTCCCTGAAAAACATATTCTATGATTATTTGGCGCTTCATTATGGTGAGATTAATAAACCAAATAAATTATCTGTGAAAGTAATTCGTTTTCTAATGAAATCGACACTATTTGCGAGACACGACTCTCAGATTCCAATTATGTATTTGAAAAATTCAAGATGAATCCATGACGCCAAATATTCGATGCTTCTTGAAAAACGCAGTGCTTATTTAACAGGCGATTCTCACTGAACATTTCGCTCACAAACCACAGCGATATGTTCAGTGAATGCAAAAAAGAACAACGAACATACTTGGATTCCAATTACTGCAAGCATGACACCGAGGAAGATGGGAACCGTTAAGCGTGATCTCTTCGGTGGCATTCTCGCTCTTCTTGGTAATTGTGGTTCCTGAAGAGACGAACACTTTCAAAAGGCATGAAATCATTTCCGAAGTAATTTGCATCAAATTGTTAGTGAAGAGTCGTTGNCACTAACCTATTCAAGGAGGCACAAATGTTTCGACGTTTACCGTCATCATCCGTGTTTATCGCTATAGAATACAATGCACGACCAATCGCATGATTCATTAATCGTTCAGAGAGAGGAGAATGGTGCATATATTAGCGACTTTCATATGAGTGCATCATTCGAAAGCAAATTGCTGACTTTGAGTGAATGGAATTTTACAAACAGACGAAATTGGCGTTTCAATAATCAAATGGACGTTACGTGATTACAGGTCGATCTGGACAATATCAGCTATCAAATATTCTGCTCAAATCATCAGCAGTCGTCTAATGGAAGTGGGATCTGTAGATCCGTTAATATCGATCTCAATCATGAGATGCGAACTTAAGAAGCTAAAAAATGTTCCTTTCCAATAATGATAAATGCTTGATGACAACTTCTACACCTGAGCTGGTAGTAGATCGCTAAATGATACGTACTTTTCACGCTAACAGAGTTACAAAAAAATAATTCTGAATTAAATGGCATAGAGAGCACATTGCCGCTCAAAGAGAGCAGAAAATTCGTTTGAGAATTTCAATTGAATAATGAAAGTATTAAATCGCATGAAAATGGGGAAAAAAACGAATTACGCACTCGATTGTGTGGAGAATACATCGATGATGCGAATAGCGCACTGATCAATTGATTTTCAAGAATTTATTACTTCTGACGAAATAATATAATTCTTTTCGGAGGAGGTTTTATATCAGTTCACTTGAATCGAAAAGAGATGAGTGTTGAGAGGAATGTGTGTTTTTCGATCGGAAACATAAGTGGGAATGACTCACGGGCACGAAGACAATATCTCCTAAAACAACTTAAAGGCAGTTTGTATGTCAACTGAAAGAGGATGTTGAAACTGCAACTGAAACAGTGAATAGCTAAAGCATGAGTAGTGAAATATCATTACGGAAATGTTATGAAATGCTATCGAGTACCCAATATGGCGATAAATTGAAAGTAAATGATAACGAACGTCTAATCGATGTTGTTTATGAACTCAACATCGTAAGCTGATTATCTCATGCTAATAACGTCTCCAATCAATTCAATGTCATACTGAACGGTACATTTAATTGACGAATCAATCAAGGGCAAAATCAATTGCAATTGAGGGTCTAATTTTTACGAATGGGTTGAGTTAATGCAATAAATCGAGGGCAAACAACAGGTTTTGTGTTTGAATGTTGTTGTGACACAACAATAAACATTCAACTTGAATAGCCGTTTTACGGCACGGCACTGTAAAACGATTATTCATACTGGCGTTGTTATTCATGCACTACAAAAGTTCTCTTTAACCATTCTTCTGCATGTCTCTTCTTTGTTCCTCTTCCAGGTGATGGAAAATTTGTGCCGAGACTGTCATCGTTTCTGAATGTGCAATCAAAAGTTCTGTCTGCTTGCTCTCATCAAATATTGCGATCATTTCGAGTGTGTAAACATGGACTAGATCTATGGATGGTTCGGTTTGAGTAGGTGTTGTGTTTGCATTTATTACATCGTTTGTCTATTGCACGTTCAAGGTCGATCGTTATCGTTCCATAGCACGTTTCACTCGTTACCCACATCGTCAGTCAGTCACCCATACGATGATGCTGACAAACCTACAGCAGTGAAGTTTTTATGACTCCAACTTGCCCATATTTCCCACAGCACAAACGAGTCGGCATCGAACATTCTTCACAACATCATAACAAGACTAAGAAAAGTCTTGTTATATCATATTTTTCAACGACACCTAAAATTAACACTGCTTCGACGTTACACCGCGTTTTTCTCATCCAGTATTGCATTCTGCCAGTGTTGGGCGCGCTATCGAAGAACGATAGCGCGCTATCGCTATT